AAATTTTTTTTTTTTTTTTTTTTTATGCTCTTTCGAACGAGCTATCCCAAAGGGGGTCTTCCCATTTGAAAATTAAAAGTTGGGGTCCGTTGCCCCCCAAGGGGGCCCCCCTGAAAATTTTAGGGGGGCCAAAAAGTAGCTCCCTTTGACCTTGTAACATCCCCCAAGTTTCAAATCTTTACCTCGATTAGGTAAAAAGTTAGAGGGGGTGGAAGGGACTTTTGGATCACCCTGTAGTTAGCGGTGTGGTTAAACTTGAGTGTCTTGAAGTGCCGTCTACTTGAGCTTTAAATTAAAAACGCGATGCAAGTTCAAGACTGTCGATGGGAGTCACGCATCTTCCTAGCGGAACTTGCTCCATCTTGAAATTTTCTTTCATTTCAGACCGGCACTTCGGATTGTTTACGGAAACATGTAGAGTGATCCACGGTTAAAATGCCAGACTGCAGGAGCATGTTCTATCAATCAAAACAAGACTTTTCTTCTCTTATGAATTTTTCCCCGAAAGTGCTTTTGGGTGGCCAACGTCCCTCACAAAGTTCCGGGAAATTCGTTGGTGACATTAGGGAAATCAAAGTCTATGTTAAAACCCGGCCGGATCTCTGGGGGGGAGGAGGGGTCAACAAAAAATTTCATTTTTTTGCATTTCATTGCATTCTCCTATGATGTCGGGCCCAGACCTGAGACCTTATGAAGAACATGGATCACGGGTCGTAGCGCAAGAAAATATATGCCACTCAAATTCATGTGTATACATCATAACTTAGGTATTTATTTCGCCAACGTCTCGAAGGCCGATTGCCTCCCTCCTCAGGGCATAAGATGACACTAAAAAAAATGTATGTATGCATCTTGTATGTATGTATTTCCGCCAGTGGCGTGGCGTGAATGATCGATTATCGATATCTCGCCATTTGAAACTATGGTAAAGAATCGATTACTAGGGTGTTCGCTGCGAACACCCTGATAATCGATCTTTTTTCATAGGTTTGAGTGGCATATCCATCGATATATCGCAAAGCACGCCACGCCACTGATTTCCGCCTTTTTAAGATTGGTCAATTCTTGAATAGTTATATTTTTCTTAAGTTGGTAAGTACATGTACAACCTGCCTCTATAAAGTGACTTGAGGCATTTTTAGTCATGGTGTTGCAAACGATCAGAAAGATATGCTTTTCGTTTTTGTTTCTAATTCGTTAACTAATTGCTTATAACTTAATCTCGCATTCCTATTCCTGTTTCTTACTTTCATTCTATTTGTTCCATGTTGTGTCCTTGCCTCCTTGCTTTATTGCCGTTCATTATAATCTTTGCAAACGGCAAACATGTAAGTAATCTTTCCGTTCGCCACGCCAATCCGAGACGGAGAAACGATAGTCGCTCTTACGAGTAGGTTTGAAGGTCAGGATGAAATTTATCTGCTTGTTCTTGCTTCGATTTATTTACAAAATAATGAAAATTTTCAATGCTGTTTCACATTTTTTTATTGTGATAAAGATAACAAATCAAGTTGTTTCCATCATCGCAAATTACTGTACTTGGTTTCTCTTCAATGCTTCTTCGTCCCGACTTGTTTTGCCGTTCATTTTTCTGAAAATAAAATACATCAAAATCAATTTAAAACTGTGATAACTTTTTAGATATAAGGCAGCTCCAATTCACCTCCGAGACAAAATTTAAAAGTGAAAATGATTATAATTTACTTTATCACTTTGCCATATCATAAACACAGCCAATTTTATGTGAAAGTCGGAGTGCATCAAACGCAGACAAAAATTAGTGAAGAATAAAAATTTGGTAAAGATCTACAAATACATTTAACTGTGTATTTGAGGTGTTATAACTAATTTTCTGGTATGTGGCAGTGGCATTTGATCATAAATTGATATTGCATTTACTTTTCCATTTACGTCAACATTCAATTATGTTTTTCTTCCCTGGTAAAAATTGGCAGTAGAATCTGTGTTCCAAAATACCATAGACCTACAGCCGGCTGTAAGATTTCCAATAGCTTCCATAGCCGGCAACACAATTTCCTATAGCCTTTTACAGCCGATTTCGATTAAGCAACAGCCTGGCAATAAAGTGTATGCTAAACGTTACTAATTACGGATGCTAGGTCTTAGTGAGTTTTTGGACTACCGCTCTCTTTGGGCCGTAGTATCTTGATTTATTTTGCGAGGAAAGCTCCGTACTTTTGAAGGATGCCTGCCATTCCTAATATGTTGGAGCGCCTTCAATTTCGTATGATACTGTGCAATACCTCTGGTGTGAAATAGTTGCTTCAAGCGCCGTGGTACGCTGCGGCGCGGCGCGGCGGCGGGCAACCAGCGCCTACAAACCTAACAGGGATACTTCACGCATTGCGCAATGCGTGAAGTATCCCTGTTAGGTTTGTAGGCAACAGTGCGCCGCCGCTCTGCTTTGTGTTAGGCTTTAATATTTAATCTCGTGGAGTCAGCGTTTTTCAACTCATGACTTTGAAATGTTTGCACACTCTGTATGGATTATTCTCATTTTAATTGATGAAAAAAATACGTAGTGAAGGAAAATATAATGTGCGTTTTGTAAATATTAAGGTGATTCCGTACAAACTTAAGGATTTACAAAGCACACGCATTTCTACACAATTTCTTATAGCCTTTTATAGCCGATGGCGAAAAAGCAACAGGCGGGCGATAAAGTGTAAAGCCAGGCGATAGGAACTATAGCCCGGCTGTATAATTTTTTATCGCTTCGTGTAGCCGGGCCGTATGATTTTTTCCACTTCCTACAGCCAGCTATATGATTTTCTATCGCCTTCTTCTGTCGGCTGTAAGAATTCCTATGGTATTTTGAAACGCAGCTCCTATCGCCAATTTTTACCAGGGTTTCTTTTTAAATAATCGAAATTGCCGATTGCTCCTCAGGAAATTTTACAAATATGAAATCATGCAAGAGAATAAATAGTTTGTTGTTGAGACATTCATTAAGACGAGATATGTAGAGTTTTTAAAAAATTTAACAGATTATTACGAAAGTTTCAACTTTGCACAGCCACAAAGCCATGTATTTTGTCGATGACTCTGATTATTTTTCAGACATTAGAGCGAAATAATCGAGTCTACTAAAAACAAATAAAAATGAAGGATTTAATAGGTATCAACGTAACAATTCATCATGCATTTACCCTTCATTGACAGAAAGAATTAGAAGAGGAAGGAAAATACTACGAAGGAAAATACTACGAAGGAAAATTAGGAATTAGAGGAAGAAGAAGAAGAAGGAAAGGCGGAATTTGGAGAACAGTTTGAATGGCAAGAAGAAGTAGAAGAGGAGGAAAAGGATGAAGAAAAGATGATGAAGATGATGAATAGTAAGAATAAGAGAAAGGAAAGGAGGAAGAGGAAGGTAAGGGAGAAGAGAAAGGAAGGGAAGAAGAGAAAGGTAAGGAAGAAGGAAAAGATAAGGAAAGGATGAAGAGAAAGGCAAAGAAAGGAAAAGCAGAAAGGAAAGAAAGAAGAGAAAGGAAAGGAAAATGAGAGTGGTAAGAAAAAGGAGACAGGAAAGGAAGAAGAGAAAGGAAAGAGAGACAAGTAATGAAAGAAAGAAGAAAAAGGAAGGAGGAAGAGAAAGAAAAGGAAGAAGATAATGGTAAGGAAAAAGAGAAAGGGAAGGAAGAAAAGAAAGGAAAGGAAGAACAGAAAGGAAAGGAAGAAAAGAAAGGAAAGGAAGAACAGAAAGGAAAGGAAAGAAAGAAAAGAAAGGAAAGGAAGAACAGAAAGGAAAGGAAGAAAAGAAAGGAAAGGAAGAAAGGAAAGGAAAGAAAGAAAAGAAAGAAAAGGAAGAAAAGGAAGGAAAGAAAGGAAAGGAAGAAATGAAAGGAAAGGAAGAAGAGTAAAGGGACGAGGAGAAGGAAGACGAGGAAGAACAGGAAGAAGTGGGGGATCAAGAAGTGAGGGAGTGAGAGGGGCGGAACGAAAGAAAAAGAGGAAGAAAAGGAGAGAAGATGAGGAGAGAAATGGAGGTGAGAGGGAAAAATATCACTGGAAAGAGAACTCACATTATCCTCCCTCTTGATTTCCTCGTTAAGCTCTTGGATGATCTTCCTGGACTTGGTCAAAAGCGGGGCGGCCCCGGCGGCCCCTCCAGGAGCCCCTCCCGCGCCTCCGAGCCCGGCCGCCCCCGACATCCCTGCGCCGCCTAACCCGGCTCCCCCCAACCCTCCGCCGCCCAGGAGACCCGTCCCCAGGAGCCCCGCCGGCCCGAGCAGCCCCGACCCCAGAATCCCGTTCCCGTTGAGGAGGTTCGCCCCCAGCCCCAGGTTCAGGCCAAGGTTCAAGAGACTTCCTAAAAAAAAAGGCGAGAGCCCGGCTCCACCCAACCCCCCGAACCCCGTCCCGAAACCGCCCCCGAGANCAGACCGACCCCCGCGCCTAACCCGGCGCCGGAGCCCCCGAAGCCCCCCAACCCCCCGAGGCCACCCAGGCCGGTGCCGAAGAAGGCCGTCCGCAATATTGGGAGAAGGAGGATGAGCACGCCGTGCAGGAGGAAGGCGAAGAAGGCCAAAATAGCGATCAGGGTTAGTGGCTCAAGACCATATCTGGAACAGAGACTGCGGTTATACTAAAACATTATTGTAAATAGTAGGTATACTATTTTACCACCTTCTTCACTTGAATATATTGTCCCTGTTAGTAACTGAGAAAACGTGTATCATAATGTCTAAATGTTAACCCTAAAATTTTTGTTACCTCTTCCCTTTAATCTTCCTCCTTTCGTTTCTCTTCTTCCTTTCCTTCCTCTTCTTTCTTTTCTTTCTCTTCTTCCTATCCTTTTTCTTCCTTTTTAAATTTTATTGTTTTTTATTGTATATCTTGTCACGGGCTGCGGAGCGTCTATAATATCTTATGTGGTTATACTGCCATGTTAAGGAAAAACGCCTTATGAACATGCGAGAGTTGCCAAATTTCCCACGATAAAATGTATATTTTTGAGGAGAGCTATGAGTATTGTTCCTTGATATTGTCAGGAACTTTTTGTGAGACTGCAAACTGTGAAATATTTCAAGAAATTTCACAGGGCTGTGAAATATTTCAAGAAATTTCACAGGGCTGTGAAATATTTCAAGAAATTTCACAGAGGGCTGTGAAATATTTCATGAAATTTCACAGGGATGTGAAATATTTGATATTTTTCAGGGGCTAAGGGGGGGGGACCCGCATCAAACACACAAAAATAGAAGAAAGTCAAAATTTTTATAAATTGCGATATATGAAAAGGAACCGATATTTTTCCAATTCTTTCATAACTTTCTAAAGTTTCATGAAATATTTCACGTGAAATTTCAAAACTTTTTTTTACATGAAATTTTCCCGAAAATTTGTAATTTACCAAAGTAAATTTGGCAACGCCTGCGGAGGTTCATACGGCGTTTATCCTTTACACGGCAGTATAGTTATGGGTACATATGAGTGGCAAAGAGCACTAAGCAAAGTGTCGTACATTAGTAGACCACTAGACAAGGTAAGAATGGAAAATTTGCAGGTGTCTGGACTTTGATAAATTTCCTTATTGATTGGAAACACTGAGAGAACTGAGCACTAGGATACCTTTGGTTTATAAAGTGAACGATCATTGGAGGAGATACGACAAAATGATTTAACCCGCCAAATATGTGTTTAAATGGGAAATACTTCCAGATGACGCCAGTTTTTGCGGCATGAAAATACGACAACCTCAATAGGGTGCATTTATTAAGAGGTAAAAACACGGATAATTCATCTGTATGATTTGTATTCAACTCAATCAGTGTTAAATGCACATGTTCGTACTCAGCGTAGGAGTTAATCTCCGACCTTCTTTCAAGTTCCTAATTGAACATTTGACGAGGAAACATATGACATGATGCTTTAATTTACAACTATTTGAGTTTTCAATTTGTAGAAAGAAGGAAAACTTTACCATGGGGGGATGACCTGTTTCTTTTCAAATGATGCTCTTGGAAATAAATAAAACAGTACAGAGCAGCGAGAAAAGTTCCTTCAAAATTGACAATAGGCAAATAATTATAGTCATGTGCAAGTTGTTACTGCTCTAACCTTACTATGCACTGATTTCCCTACTACCGTTGCAAATTGATTGATGTCGAAAATTTGGATTTAGAGTCCAAACTCTTAATAACTTTGATAAAAAAAAAAAAAAAAAAAAAAAAAAAAAAAAAAAAAAACACTATTGATTCGATCCGACTTTTCCTTAAATCGAAGAGCCGAGCCTCCTAATTTAGGCGGATTTCCTTTTGATTCAAGCAAAAAGTCCGATTGAATCAAGATAGTTTTTTCTTGTCAACGCTGTTAAGAGTCTGGACTCTAAAGTGTAGATCCAAGCGACTTTTTTTTTTTCTTGTCAACGCTGTTAAGAGTCTGGACTCTAAAGTGTAGATCCAAGCGACTTTTTTTCTGCACAGAAAAAAAAAGAATTGCTGATTCAGCAATTCAATTGCTAAAAGCAGTGAGTGCAATGTTTCCATGTAGATTTTACAACACAAAAATGCTACTTTAACCACCCCCGTGGTTAAATTAGTTTACAATGTGGTTAAAGTAGCATTTTTGTGGTTAAATTAGTTTACAATGTGGTTAAAGTAGCATTTTTTTGTTGTAAAATCTACATTGAAACATTGCACTCACTGCTTTTAGCAATTGAATTGCTGAATCAGCAATTCTTTTTTTTCCCGTGTGGGGACCGACACCTATTAATATTTAATACGGAAGGGAAAAACTTATTTTGTACAACTTTAATGATTTTTGAAGCAATATGGCGAGCAGTGCAAGGTAATATAAGGTAGAAAAATATTTTTCATCCCAAAAAGGGTTTTTACTGAACAATTTGTGTTTCCATCTTAAGAGCCTCTTTGCCTTGCTCCATCACATTTATCTTTATTCACCGGAGATCTCCTCACCAGCACAAGACTCGATTGGTGAAATTGATTCACAAAGCTATCGACAAAGAACACAGAAGGAAAAAGGAACGGTTCTGTTGGTTGAAACGGGCGGTTGCTATAGACTAAGAATGAAAAGGATGGATTAAAAATAGGTCTCTCTTTGATTGCCGTTAATCAGTCTTTTTCGCACCTCCTTTGTTCATTGCAACCACTCACACCAATAGGATCGCTCCATTTTTTGTCAATCCCTTTGTCCATCAATGCCAATAATCGGGATAATGGTGGTTATAGCCATTCATATTATGATAAAACCTCTTAAAACAAAAAATCTTCATACTTACGAGTGCGGTTGGTATACAGAAGTCGGGTAGCTTCTTTCGGCTTCCATTTCCGCGCTGGTTCGAAAAACACAAGACACCACTTGCTATGATGTAACTGAGCCACTGACTGCCCTGCTTCCCTGTTGACCGAGAACTATTCAGGAACAAACACCGACACGGCTGAGCGTCGACCTATCTCATACCGGTAAGAGACCGTTAGAAATATCGAATAGATCGCAGTTCGACTTCTTTCACGCTTCTTCGTAAAGCGACGTTGAAAACCATCGATTCGCCCGGTGTCCCGCCGTCTGACGCCCGATGACACTTGAGCGATTTAATTGGGCCGGTCCCTCCGAGCAGAACCGACACGTAAAGTTTGGCCCACTGACCAGGTGACATCCCGTCAACTCTGTCGTGCTAAGGAAGAACGCCGTATGAACATTCGAGAGTTGTCAAATTTCCCTGATAAAGCATGTATTTTTGACGAAATTCATGCACATTTCCCCCTAAAATTCTCAGATACTCTAGATTAAACTGCGTGCAAACTTGTGTGAAAATGTTGAAAAAAAATTATTCACAGTTTTTCCAGTAAATTCAGTTTTTATCGAAGGATAATTTTTAATTTGGCAACGTCTGAAAACTCATACGGTGTTTCTTCTTAGCACGGCCGAACTGGTCAGAGGTCGGTGGCTTGTGCAAAAACACCGCGGCTTACTCCGGGAAGTGATGGATGGGTATGTCGTGGCTGCAAAAACACGATTTCCGTTTCCGTGGGCTGATTATTTTTGAAATTTTCAGACAAAGCCATAGACAAATAACTCAAAGGGGAATGGAGCGATCCCATTGGTTAAAACGGATGCTGCCATAGACTCAGGGGGAAAATGATGGACTAACTATAAGGATTCTCGTTGGTTACCGTAAGTCTCCTAAGGAGAAAAATTGTACTAAAGAGGAGGTCTCGTAAATATTCATTTTTATATGTTACTTGTCTGGATATTTACAGTAAATTGTTACAGGTTCTAACATACAATGTGATACAATATAGATTAAGGGAAAGATACATAAGAGCAAATAAGAGAAAACAGTTAAACTCAAAATGTATATGTACAAAAGCATTGAGTATAAATGAGAACAATGAATGAAACAGAGTTAGTGTTTTTTAATCTGAGCCATCAAACGAGGATAGAGAAGGTGAAGTTGCCTCTTTTTTCTTCAAAAATCATAAGTTCACTAAGTAAAATAGTGTTCAGTCCCTCCTTAACATCATGATCCATTCCCCAGTTCTCCATTTCTTGAAACTTATTATTCGATACAGAACATTCTTTAATTACCAAGGTTGTAAGAAAAAAGACATTTTTTTTCAAATTGTCAAAAGTAGATTTTAGAAGAATTAGTTGTGATTTCGTTTTCTTATCAAAAAGTTTAAGACTAGGGCTCCCATAATGAGTTTTAAAAATTATTTGCATATTCTTCAATTCTATAAGTTTTTGAGGTGTTTTCTTTTCATCAAAGGAAGTAGCAATGGTGGTAAGTTTTTTTTTGAAAGCCTCCCATTCGGAAATGGGTAGCAAGATTATTTCTCAGGGATCTGAAATTTTAAATAAGTAAACCATCACTTGGAAGTCATTTTGGGGATCATTGCCTGTAAATATCTGTTTTGATGGGTCTAAAGTTAAATCATACGCCTTCCGATTTAACAGAAGTGGTTTTATTATGAATTTTTATTTCTTGTGTCACTTTCTTAGACACATACCTACGGTTTCCTTTTCTTCGCAGTCGCTCTAACCACCTCAATTTCCCCTTTCCACCTTTTCTGATGCCCCCTCGTTTTTGATTATTCAAGCTTTTTAATTCCTTTCGCAGCTGTTCCATCCTGCTTAATAAAACCTCAGCCAATGTAGCATACGAATATAGGGTTGAGAAAAGTCAAAAATCAAGACGGGGAGAACCTGATCGGATCCACTTTTATTTGAGGGGTATGTATCTAAAATCCACTCAAAATCCTCCCCCATTTTTTCTTTCGTGTACAATATCTCATTCAAAACAAGAAAGGATCTGGAGATGACCCAGCGATGACAGTTTGCGAAAAAGTCAGAAAGGTTGCCTTTGGGCTCCGTTCCCTACTGCTCAATACTGACGGTCCGTCATACAGGAGGAAAAGAATTATCGTGTCATCGGTCCTTTCCATCTGGCTTATGGGATACTAGTCTGGGGGTGCGGCGCAGGGTGCAACTCTGAAAAAAAACATACAGCTAATGAGTACAACGCTCTTTGTTAAAAAAAATAGAATAAAATAAATAAATAAATAAAATAAAATGAGTACAACGCTGAGGCCCCTAAAGAAGTCTCTGTGTTGCGCATACAGGACTGCGTCGAAAAATTGTGTGGGCATAATCTCAGGTATTCCACCAGAAGATCTATTACTTGAAATTTTTTTAGAAAAGCTAAAAAAACAGAGGATCTTTCGGAAATCGAAGATGAAATCAGGGACTAATGGAGTCAAAGATGGTTGTCAAACACCCAAGATACCTGGTGTCGTACTTTGATTACAGATTCCAAATAGTGGCTCGAGAGAGACCATGGAGTGTTGGATTATTTTTTGACGCAGTTCCTCACCGGTTATGGGTTTTTTTTCTGCTGGTTTAATGGCTTCGTGTCTTGCACCTTCAGCCAACTTTAGACAATGTTTAGTGTCCGTAGACATCGTGGGATCTCCACGCCTCAGGCTTTTCCAATTTTCAAGGATTAGGGCCGAGGAGAATCTGTTTCAGCAGATCTACTCGTCAATTCCGTGAAAATTAGACGCCACCACCGGGATGCGAACCCGGGACCTATGTCATGGGAGTTTCGCCGGTTATCTGTACAGATGATCCCGAATGTAGCTTCTGCACGGCGGAGATAGACACGCCGGAACATACTTTTTTCGGATTCCCAATCTCTGAAGAATTCCGAAAGAAGGCGCAAAGAAAGATAAAATTTTAACCCCACATAACATTATTGATGTTATGTTAGAAAAGAAAGAAAATCGGCTCTCAATAGTAGAATTCATTAGAGCCACTCCAGAAATAAAGCGAAAGGAATATAAAACTGCCGTGCTAAGGAAGAACACCCTATAAATATTCGAGAGTTGCCAAATTTCCACCGATAAAATATGTATTTTTGACCACATTCATGCAGATTTTTCTCTGAAATTACCAGATATTTTAGATTAAAGTGCGTATAAAATGGTCTAAAAATTTTAGAAAAAATATTCACAAATTTCCCAGGAATGTCAGTTTTTATCGAAGGTAACTTGGCAACGTTTGAAGGCTTATACGGCGTTCTTCCTTAGCACGGCAGAATAGGTCTAAATCCTTAATGATACTGTTTTAAAGTACGAAACACACGAAAAAAACTTCATTCTGAATTTGATAATGAAATATATCTACCTGCATAATGATCATGGTCTTGCTGTAGAAAAACTTAGCGACATTGAGATAAGAGTTCATGTTGTGATTGTTCAAAACGGTTACTCATTTTTTTAAAAAGTGATAAATTCTTGCAGTTGCTTCGAACAAAACTTGTTTCTGGTTTCAGATAGAAAGTTCTCTCACTTATTCCATCATCAATTAATATAAAATTGTTCTGGAATGTTTCCATGACAGATAAATTTGTTGTAAAATATCACTTAGTAACACTAAAATCATAAAAAAACTTTTCAGGTATTGAATCTTGAGATTCCACACATTTTCTCACAATATAAATAAATTTGTTTTTCCTTGATAGAGAAGTCATCTTGAAAAATGAATCACATAGATAGAGAAGTTTTGAGAGTGAAAGAATACGGAGATGCTCCACGGTTTCGAGCTCAGGGCAAAACTGTAGTGCGAATCGGATGAAAGGGATGTGTTGAAATAACATTATAAAAATAGAAATTGTTGGCCTCACGGGTCGGGAATGAATCTGCACGGGGGCCCTGTTTGAGTCTAGCAACCGCGATTGGCGTGGTGTTGTCAATTTTCTACATAGTCTTAATATTAAAGGCTGGAATTATGATGTGAGTTAAATACAGAGCCGCAAAGTTAAGCTCAATTGAAAAACGGGACGTGTTCTCAAACGAATCACCTTCGTGGGTATTAAATTCACGGAAAAAATTAAATTGCTGATATGAACATAAACTAAAAAGTAAACTAAGTTTAAGTGCAAAAAAAATATACCGCAACACAAATTTCCATCCTTGACGGGAAATTTAGGCTGAAATTCCCGCCGAAAGACCGAAGAAGCGCCACCACCACAATGCTCTTGAAGAAAAAAGAAAATGCGACAAATATGTACCCAAAAACGGTTTGCAGGGGCCGAATCAATGGTACGTGTAGCGCTCCCAGTGCTTCAAAAATTTACTTTGGAGACTTCCACAACTTTTCTTTGACCGATAACCCAAAAAGTCATTCCCATCTATGAATCCGGAACTTTCCTCAACACGTCTTATCACGACGTGGACTTCTGACGATTTCGAGGAATGGACCACTAGACAAGGTACGAATTACAGCATTTTGATACATGTTTCTGAACCAAAATTTTACGTAAAGCACAATGCGCACAACGAAAATTACCAAAATCAACTCCTTACGAAGATAATTAATGATTCTTGATGCGTGAATTTAAACCACCCGCGCATGAAAACTCATTGCTCTACGTGATTCATATCGCGCGCTAAACGTTATCATGACGATAATCTCTGCGATATAAAAATCTGGCAACCTCAATCTTGACGCTTTGGCTCAGCTATGGCAAATTGCTTATAGTTCGAACGAAACACGGTGGGAAATGAACATTGCTCGTTTGAGAAGCTTGCTGAAACCGTTGTAGTGCTCGATTTGACTCACGTAGAGCTTTGAGTTTCTTGTGAGCGGGCAGTTCAAATTCTTCGTAACCAATGTGAAATAAAAGCGTTTATATCTTCGTAAGGAGTTGATTTCAGTGATTTTCGTTGCGCGAATCGTGCTCTACGTGAAATTTTGGAAAAGAAACTTGTATCAGATTGCTTAAATTTGTGCCTTGTCTAGTGGTCCATTATTGGTAATACTTCACAATCACTGAAAAAAAAAGTTAGGTTAATCCGAACTAGTTAGGATCATATGGAACCAGGTTTTGTTCGGCACACACAACCGAATTATTCGGTCTGTTCAACCGAATTTTTCGGTTTGTGCGACCGAACCGTAATAAATTCTTACAGTTCGCTTCAGTGGACCGAACAGTTCGGCTGAGCAGACCGAATAATTCGGTCGTGTGTACCGAACAAAATCGTGGTTCCATATGATCCTAACTAGTTCGGATTTACCGAACTTTTTTTCAGTGATACTTAACTATGCAAATTATCAACGTGCTCATGAAATTCAGGGCCTGAGATCAACTAAGATTGAAAAGATCACCTGAATCGCACGGTATAACCTTTCTGTGCGGATGCTTATCTATGTAATGAATTTTTACTATATCGAGTTAATCATTCTCAACTGATTATTCAAAGGATGGCGCGGACCCCCAGGACCTGCCCCGACCAAGCATGCTGAACCGGAAGGAAGTGGACGAATATGAAGAGGGCCAACATTTTGGGCCGTCGATTTGTAGAATTCGTCACCGGACCAACCAGTTCGAAGATTACCTCAGCGCCCCGCCGGTGCGAGCTTCCAATCGCAATACCCAGAAAGTTCCAATTTGGTCTCCATATTGTGGTCCCCAGCACATAAAACTGTGTTTGCAAATCTTCAATGAGCAGGGTTTCTCTTAACTAGACTGTAGGCTTCGTTAAATGTAATGATATTAGCCAGCGGCGATTTTGCAACTTGGCAACACTGTCGTTCCTCATTTAATTCCTTTAAAAATATCGATTCTTGCAGGTGAGATACTGTCACATTCAAGAGGAGCATTACAATCAAGTATTTTTTTATATTTTTTTTTGTTGGGACGAGATGGTATAGACCCGCGCCAAGGGTAAATCACCTCGGGCTGAGAGGGGGAGAAAATCTTATTTTTAGCGCTACATATTATGTGGACCGCAGTGGCTCAGCGTGCCTTGCGATATCGATTCATCTGTCATTTAAACCTATAGATCGAAAAGGATCGATAAACAGGGTGTTCGTAATAAACATCTTAAAAATCGATTCTTTATCACAGTTTCAAATTGGGAAATATCGAAAATCAATCATTGAGGCCTATATAGCCACTGACGGCTCCTAACTCAAACTGCCGGTCTACGAAAGGAAGAGGTAGAATGAAGTCAAAAGTTAGTCGATTGAAACTCATTTGTTCACGCGTCATAGAAACCCCAAAACAAACTAGAGGCCCAGATAGTGCAAGCCGATCAAGATGCTCCGTGCTACCGCGCTAAGGAAGAACGCGCCGTATGAACATTCGAGAGTTGCCAAATTTCCTTCAATAAAATGTTTATTTTTGAGGAAAGTTATGAGTATTTTTCCTTGAAATTTTCAGAATCTTTAGGTAAGATTGCGAACTCAATTATCGGAAAAATTGGAATAAAAATATTCATAAGTTTACCAGGAAATTCGTGTTTCATCAAAGGAAATTTGGCAACGCCGAAGGTTCATACGGCAGCGTGGCCATCAGAACTCGATCTCCGCACCTTAAAAGCAAATTAACGGCCAAGCGCCGTGTACGACTGGGAGATACAATTCTATCAGCTCAGCTGTAGTTGTTCTGCCTATACAGCTATTAGAAGGAGTTTTTTGAGTGTTGGATGCGCGATTCTAATTGAGTTTGATCGGATTGGAGGGATCTCCATATTACGAAGCAAATTCCTCAAAAAAGCATCTACACGAACGTTTTCTCGTAAAAAATAAAAGTGCGCAGTTTTTGGCAATAGCTGATGTGGCTGTATTATAATTATCTCTCTGTCAAGTTTTCCGTTTCGTGTAGAAGCGCAAGTCGTCATTATTTTGAAATTCAGCATAATCTTCTTTTCTCGCATTCTCAATACTTTTTGAAAAGTTTGTGCAAGAAAGCTAGGTTACCGTTGAAAAAATGAAATGAGAGCTGATATTTCAAAATATTGCGGTATGGATGCGCAATTTTCCTCACGCATTTTTGCCCTTTTAGTTACCCACTCAACTGAAATTTTACGTCTGATTACTGCACATTACACACTTAGGCAGGATTTTTTTTCTAAAACTCTCAATCAAGAAAGTCTCAATTCATGATGATAGGTGTGCAGAGAAGTTCAAATAGGCAAAATTTAAATAACGAGGCTCTATTAACCTCAGTTAAAAATGTTGAGATACTGATTTACAAGTGGGAAAACCCGAGAATTCTAGCAAAAAGTAATGACATTGACGCAAAACAAAGACATGGCTCGTTCCGTTCATTTGAGCTTAATGTGATACTTGTGACGTTATATCTTCTAAGGAATAATGCTTTAAGTTGGACTTCTTAAATGTATTTTGGGGCATGTCTTATAATAGGAGCATTTATAATTATGTGAACTTTCGCCCAAAACCAGTAAGGTGCTGTCGATTTTTTTATTATTTATTTTAAACATTTTGGACGCATCATAAGTAAATCACCTAGGACCTAAGAGGTTTTAGTTGAAACTTTCAAATATTCAGCAGTTTTGTGAATGTATCACCTTTATAAAAAAAGAAGAAGAAAAAAATGAAAAAAAAGTACGACGCTCTTTTCTCTAAGTTCCATTTTTCTCGAAAAGAAAAAATGAATTCACATTTTCTCTTTTTTTATGAACTCTTGGGTTTTAGAATGCATAATATTAATTCCGCCTCCGATTGGACTATAAATATCCTGATACAAGGCGTTAAACTGTCAAAGTGTTAAGTAATGCCGCAACTCAGCAGTAGCCTGACCATGTTGTCAATTGGACGTATTTCTCTCAAACGGAACTATGTGCATTAAGACATGAGCCCTGATACCCATAAGAATATAATAATAATAATAATAATAATAATTTATTTTATTCGTAAATGCACATTTATAACGTATAATATATGCATTACGGGGCTCACGTCACAATGCACATAGTTCCGTTTGATATAATAATACGTCCAATTGTCATATCCATAAATCCACAGGGCAAAAATACTATGAATGAAAAACTCTTGTTGGGTGTTCAAGAAATTAGCCTGCATAATGATAGTTGTAGTTCTTCAAAATAATATCCTTACACTCCTCGATAAATGGACATATTTGCTAAAAGGAACTATGACGATTCGGAGTAAAATCTTTTAAAGTTTCACTTAAAAATGCCGATGAGTCTCCTGGTAATAGTACAATTTACGAGGTAAAAGTTGGCAGCATTGAAATTCAGTTACGTTCTCTCGTGGGGGAAATGTAGAATTTTGAACGACTTTCTTGAACGATTATCTTAGAGACTTTAATGAAAGGATAAGAAAGTAGGTAAAATACACACGAGCGGATTCCTGCATTGACCTATCTCCTCCTTTAGTCTGTAAGGACCACCCGTTTCAACCAAAAGGGTTGCTTCATTTTCCTTTTGTCTTTTTTTCAATCGCTTTGTCTATCAATTCCAATAATCAGCCTACTAGTTTGGAAATGTTTTCGTCTCAAACACCTTCTAGTCCATTTAAAAAGGAAAAAAAAAAAAAAAAAAAAAAAAAAAAAAAAAAAAAATATGGAATGACCATTTACTTCGGTAACAAGACAGCTCAATGCACGGTGCACAGCGTCAAGTCGCTACACTCGACGGACCATCTTGCAACGCGGGTTGCAGCCGGCGGGCAAGGCGCAAGAGCCCGAGCTCTAAGCTCGCCAGGTGCGCGGCGTTGCCGGTTGAGCAGAAAAACCGCGGAACCCCCCCCCTCTCGCGTCGCAACTCC